TATATATATATATTACATTTATAGAGATTTTTTTTTCTTCTAAAAGTGAAGATCAGGTTCATCAGGTCAGTTCATTCAACTTATTTCAAAATGGGTAAAACGTTGATTTCCATCGTCTTGCTAAATTTAGTAGCATGTAACGGTACTGTATTGTTACAGGGTTGTACTATATATTTGTTCTTTTCCCCCCTGAAAGGTTGACGAATCCATTGTGTATGTCAGGGCAACATGTCAGGCTTCTATGAAGAAACACCACTATCAAATGTATGTGTGTGCAACCCTCTCCCCTGACAAGGACAAACTAGAATATGCCTACTGCCAGTGTCCAATTGGGTAGTTACATTTTTTTTCTTCTCAAGTTTACATACATGGTATCTAAATATAACCAGATTTACTCTGCATACTCATTGAGTCAATATCCATACCAATTTGTTTCAGTGTACTTGTTCTATACTGACTATAGGGACAATAGGGTAATAAGGCTTCAATATTAACTTTTGTTTTGATGCTTTAAGAATTTATTAGGGACATCATTGTTACATTATAAACAACAAATTCAATTAATTGAATAACATGATAAAACAATGCAAACAATATGAAGAATAGTTCAAATTTCAGTCTTTGCAAATATCTCAAAACAGACAGCAGTGAGTGAAATAATACTAACTAATTCATTTTAAGTCCAAGTTGAATTTAATATCTGGTCACATAACATTTATACTGCATAAATTAGTACAAATGGTGTTCACAGAGGAACACTGAAGTAGAATCTTGTATTCACTAAATAAAATAAACCAATAATTTTAAATGAAATTATTACAGACTATCACAGGCATGCAGCCATATTGGTGGGCTTTTATTTGCTTTGGCGCAAGGACAAACAACAAAAAAAGGAACGTTGGAAGAAAACTGCACCTCCAACCTTTGTATGTGGAAAGTCCCTAGGAACCAGATTAAAGCGCAACCTCTACGAAATTTCCAGCTGGCTAAGCCGAGAGTCACTCCAAATAACCTAACAAATACAATCCAGCCACCACCTCAGGGTAATTTTGATCCAAGACATTCTGAGGACAGGTCTCATGACCTCCACAAAAGTCTGCAGGAGCTGAAGAAATTAAAGGTTTTCCCCCAAACAGGTATATATACAAAAAAAAGTATTTGTTCCATTTAATGCATTAAACTCAATCACTGCAAAGATGAACTAAATGGAATACTGTCAATTTGGTAAAAAAAAAAACAGGATAAAAATGACATCATCAATATTTTTTTGAATGCAACTTCTGTTTCTCTATTTTATTGCAAACTTTTATTAACTGTACAAATATTTTTTTTGTACTAACATAGTATATACATTGAGGAATTATTTTTACTCTAGGAATGTCACACTTTTGGAATATTCCTGACCATGTGCCAGATGTATGCCATGAAGAAGAGATGGAAACATCAATACATCCACTTCAGAAAAAGATGGAGCAAATGGTCTTTAAAGAAAACAACTGTAAAGTCAGATTTGCGAAAATAACTGTTGTAATATATGACATAAATGTATCTTTTTTCCAATCACTGGTTATCTTTTTCTGAAAATATTTCAATGTGGTACCTTTTACAAGTATATTTGAATAAAAAGTACATACAGATAAAAAGCGGTAACATGTACATACTTTTCTGTAATATGGGTTACTTTGTATATATATCTAATACTGCTTGCTCTTGATANCACAGAGGAACACTGAAGTAGAATCTTGTATTCACTAAATAAAATAAACCAATAATTTTAAATGAAATTATTACAGACTATCACAGGCATGCAGCCATATTGGTGGGCTTTTATTTGCTTTGGCGCAAGGACAAACAACAAAAAAAGGAACGTTGGAAGAAAACTGCACCTCCAACCTTTGTATGTGGAAAGTCCCTAGGAACCAGATTAAAGCGCAACCTCTACGAAATTTCCAGCTGGCTAAGCCGAGAGTCACTCCAAATAACCTAACAAATACAATCCAGCCACCACCTCAGGGTAATTTTGATCCAAGACATTCTGAGGACAGGTCTCATGACCTCCACAAAAGTCTGCAGGAGCTGAAGAAATTAAAGGTTTTCCCCCAAACAGGTATATATACAAAAAAAAGTATTTGTTCCATTTAATGCATTAAACTCAATCACTGCAAAGATGAACTAAATGGAATACTGTCAATTTGGTAAAAAAAAAAACAGGATAAAAATGACATCATCAATATTTTTTTGAATGCAACTTCTGTTTCTCTATTTTATTGCAAACTTTTATTAACTGTACAAATATTTTTTTTGTACTAACATAGTATATACATTGAGGAATTATTTTTACTCTAGGAATGTCACACTTTTGGAATATTCCTGACCATGTGCCAGATGTATGCCATGAAGAAGAGATGGAAACATCAATACATCCACTTCAGAAAAAGATGGAGCAAATGGTCTTTAAAGAAAACAACTGTAAAGTCAGATTTGCGAAAATAACTGTTGTAATATATGACATAAATGTATCTTTTTTCCAATCACTGGTTATCTTTTTCTGAAAATATTTCAATGTGGTACCTTTTACAAGTATATTTGAATAAAAAGTACATACAGATAAAAAGCGGTAACATGTACATACTTTTCTGTAATATGGGTTACTTTGTATATATATCTAATACTGCTTGCTCTTGATAAGACCATACCACTGACCAGTCAATGTCTGCCTGACATAAGCCTTATCCATTTCATTCATGGCCTTATCTGTATCACTTCTGGTTCAACACATTTAAAGATCATCATTTTGATGTTGAATTAAAATAGTACCATAAATGTAGTACGGTTTTAGATTAAAAATGTTGATATAGAGGTTTTTGGTTGATTCAAGATATGGATAAGGGATAAGGTGAAGTGATAATTATTACACATTCCCTAATTACTCAGGATATGTTATTGAAAAATTATGCTTTGTTGTTTTATTACTAAAGGCCCGCCTCCAACAATTAATCTTGATCTTTCAAGATACATTGAGGAAAAAACACAGAGCCAGAGTTCATGTCCAATGTGGAAAGCTCTACACAGAAGAAGGATCACAAGTTCCATTTTTGGAGATGTTCTGCATGCTGGGCCCAATCCTGCATCATTAATTAAGCAGAGTGTGGAAGGTTCAAACCTTGACAAGTAAATTCAATTTTCTTACTACCTTTAAGGTATTCCATGTATAATACACATTTCTTTAAGCAGCATTTAAGTATTAATAAGTTTTGTCCTGAAACAGTACCAGGCTTTAGAAACATATTATTTGTCATTGTGTCTGTCTTTACTTAAAAAAAAAGTCTATTACAAGTGTATTAAAATTAATTTCAAGCAGTATTTGCTTGGAACCATATATTTTTTGCTAACTAAACATACAATCTTTCCTTCCAATAAAAAAACACATACACATACATTCCTTTTTTCTCTTCTGGTGTCATAACAATGTAAATGAAAGATTAAACACAGGAGTCACTTTGTTAGTACAAATGTACTACTGTTAATTGATATTCTGTTTATTTGATATTTTTAAGGTATGCAAATTTACCAGAAGCAGTAAAGTGGGGACAGGACCATGAGGGGTGTGCCAGAGTCCAGTATGGAGAGATAAAACGGGCCCTTTTCAATGTTGAGATCTATCCTACTGGACTCACATTGTGTACATCACATTCATTTCTAGGAGCCTCAAGTGATGGCAGAATCATAGAACAGGATGGTGAAGGTTTGCTTGAAATCAAATGTCCATTTTCTTTAAATGGAAAAAAGATACTTAGTATGGGAATAGGGCACATCATGGAGATGAATGGCAAAAGCTTCTGTTTGGAATCTTCTGATGAAGGGCCAAAGTTAAAAAAAAGTCACAAATATTATGCTCAGGTGCAGGGTGAAATGGCCATTAAGGGCTTACCTTGGTGTGATTTTGTTGTTTGGACAGGGGCATCATCAAATAACATTGCCATTGACAGAGTTTACTTTGATGCTGACTTTGTAAGTGATATGATGCCAAAACTTGTAAAAATTTTCATAGATCACATATATCCTTTGTATTATGCGTAAAGCAGCAATTACCTGAAAATTGGACCTACCTCTGGAGGTGTGGAACTTGATTCTCATTATTAAAAGTATACATTCTAATTTATTGTAGTGGAACTGGACTGGGTCGATCGTCAGCGACCAAATTATAAATACATTGTAGCTCAATTGGTAGAGCATCCGCCTAGAGCTTGAAGGGTCCCAGGTTCGAACCCATGTCTGGTCGTGCTTTTTTCCACTCCTTTTACGTTCCATTATAACTAGAACCTTTACCATATTTCTATATGGAACCAGTGACTGAAAGAAGTTAAGGTGTATCAGCTGTAAGTTTCTGTTCAATGAAGTATTGGTCATGTTTCAAAATGTCATTTTATTGGAGACAAAAAGACCCCAAGTGCATATTTATAATTTTAAGAATAGTGTGGCACAAGTTCATAAACTGTACAAACTGTTAACATTTATCTTCTACAAGAGGGGTATCAAAGTTTGTAAGCCAGCAACAGACTTGAACAATTTTTGAAGCTAGTGGGGCAAGAGAAAGGGGTAGCACTCCTTCCAATATATGAAAATTCTTGACACGGCCAATACTTCTTTCAACATGTATTCTAAGCTGTGCTATTTCCTGAGTCTGAAAAACCTCTGTTGTAGAAAACTGGTTAGAGTTTCCTCGAAATGGTGGAATATTTAGATAACACTGGCGTTTTTCTAACAGGTCCCCTATAGTAAATCCTTTGTCTGCCATAACACTGTCGAAGGGCTCCAAAAGATCCAGAATACCAGAGTCCTCTGTTAATTTACGGTCTGAAACTCTGCCTCCCCAGGCTTCTGATATAAATGTTATGACACCAGAAGGACTAATACCTACAAGAAACTTCAGGGTGTTGTGGTGTTTGTAATTTGAGAATGTGAGACTTTGATTAACTAAGCTACAAGATCTCTGAATGTAAATTTCTGTACAATCTAGAATAACTCTAGTTGAAGGATATTTTTCTTTGAAACATGATGGCATTGTACGTTTTATAATATCTCGACTTGGAAAGGGGTTGAGAAATTTCAGTTCAGCATGGAGCAAACTTATCCATGTAGTAAAGTAGGAAGAAAATGTTGCTGAAGATATGTTAAATCTGTCAGCCAGATCCTGAACAGAAAGACCTAGTCTCAGCCTCATCAGCACAGCTAACAGTTGATCAATAGTAGTTATCATAGGGACTGATACCCTCATCCTGTCCTTGGTTGGAGTGTTGACATCTCCCCTCCAATATGTCAAACGGGAGCTTTTGGATGATAAGTAACTGAAACGAGTTAAAATCAAATTATACATTTTCCCCACCTACACACATTAAACTTTTGTTGGGTCTTTCTCTACCTTGATGGTAGGACAGAGCTAGAGATATTAACAAATTGAAACGACCCTCATATCTACAGTAAATATATCTCAATAGATTAATATATAAAGTTGCCAGGTATGATAAAGGATACCATCAGTTTATCTTAGTGCTTCATTATATCATTTTATGCTGACATCACCTATAAACACTATGAAGAGATATCAAGGAAATGAATTGGTGATATCAGAAACTGACATGAGTTACATAACACTGTAATAAAGTGATGTCACATAATTCTTATCTTGATATCAGCATTAATGTCAAATAAATTGGTCTATGACTGTCATAACCAGATGGTTTGAATAAGTGGAATACAATGCCTAAGTGATATTACCAATTTCATTATTTTGGTTTCACTCAAATAGAATTCAGTATATGGTTTCCGATACTTTGAATGTGCTGTACTATTTGTAAATTTTACAGTTTCATTTAAAAAAAAAATCAACCAAAGGGTTATTGTCAATAATGATTTAATTATATATACATGTATATATACTTATAGATGTTTCTTGCTCCTGAAAGACAACAATAAGAACTCATCATTCATCTTTCATAAAACCTAATATTGACTTACTTGTACAGCCACAAGAAAACGCCAAATGTTGGGAGACCAGTGTAAAATCGGGTCTGTGTGTCATTGTCCTTTATTTTGCCTACTCCCCATTTGAGCTGGCGTACCTCCTCTTTTAGTAATCTTACTTCCTCCTGGAGTCGCCTATTCTCCAAGAGAAGAGGGTCTTCATCACATTGGACACCTATGGGGATCAGGGAGAATTTCAATTTTCATTTTTTTCCCATCAAGGCGCTGAAAAACAAAACAGGATACTGTATGTTGTGTTTTATTTCTAAACAATTTCTTCATGTTGGTTAGTATAGATAGAATAAAGGAATCAAACCTTTGAATGTATAATATAAAGACCCAGATCGAGGCTGTTTGGAAAAGTAGGTTCATAAACCATTGAATAAATAATCAAAACTGGGGAGGGGTTAATAACAGGAAATACATGTATTACTTTACCAGTGTCAACAAGAACATTAACATCTGTGTCATCCTCTTCTTGAATCTCAGCCTCAGCTTCAGGTTCTGGGACAGGCTTACAGTACCCTCTGTGCATGGCTAAAGACACTTTCTTTTTTACCTCCTCCAGCTGTATTTGGTTTGTTTTCAAATATTGGCTTTCCTGTACATAAAAAGAACACACAAAAATATTATGGAAAATAAATATTTCAAACTCATTGCAAAGCTATGGAAATATAAAAATAAATTGCAGACATGTAATTAACTACCATGATTCTTTTTGACAGTTAACGGTAGTTTTCACAACTCGACATAAAATTTGACAATCAAAAGTTTTCTTTGAATGCAAAAAAACCCACCAACCCCCCCTCCCCCGATATTTTGGTCATAATTTATAATGTGATCAGTAATATAACAATTTTGTTGATGCAATATAGGGGAATAAAATGAAATTGTTAATAATCATGTTGAGTTTAGTCTGGTGTGTTGTTTATATACAACAGTAACAATTAGTTATAGGTATGCACGAGGAAAGAAAGGGGCAGGTGTGGAGTTGATATTATACCTTGGATTCATCTCTAGCCAGCTTTCTTGTCTCTCTTGATATGTTGATGTCTGATGGTTTAACCACCTTTCAAAATGAAGTTTTTTGTAATTTATTTGAAAGTTTTAATTTGAAAATTTAACAACCATTGATAAAGACAGAATTTTAGTTCTCAATTTTTTTTCAACAAGTGATGTTTAATTTAAACTTGCAAAATTTGTTTTCATATAAACTAGAGTTCAGTAAATTTACTTAAGTTAACGTTATGTTATATGTATAACCTGAACATGTACGTATATTTGTAGTTGCATAGTATTATTTATGTAGAGATTATGTTTGTGTTTCCTGAACTTATGTAAGATATGCTTTAACACGGTTTGATAATTTGAAAAGATCAACTGCCATGGTGAATTTGTACTGCAACCAGCAGGGATACAAAGCAATTTTATAACTGTTATAATACAACAGCTTTATAATGCATCTACAATTATAAGAATAAATATCACACCTATGATTGTGTATGCATATGTGCTGCGATAACAATGGTCTGATCATAGGGGTTCGTTACAAATGTCTGACATACACATATGCTACTCTTACATGGGTCACAGCACACATAAACATATGTGTGTGCTGTGACCCATTTCAGTATAATAAAGCATATGTGTGTAACGAACCCCTGTGGTCTGATGGTTGCTGTTGCTTAAATATTTTACTGACATGTTTTGTGTGTTTTTGTCATATAAAATATAAGTGATTGTAATAAATTTACCACCTTTTAAATAACCTTATTTGTTTATTTTTTACCTTGTATTTGAAAATTGTCGGAGCGTAATTCTCGTCAGCAGGGTCATATCCGTGCCAGCCGTCGATAAAATGCTCGGAACATATCCACGAACTTTCGTTCGGAACCCAACCATCCCTGTTAAGTGCTTTTATCCATGTCTTCCGCTTCCGCTTATCTTTTGGGAACCGAAAAAAACTTATTTTCTTTGACCGGTCAAACTGGTTTGCGCACTTGTATACACTGCAGGTTTTCACCATAATGGTTGTTTACGTATATCCAGGAACCCACTCAGTGGCATTTGTGTGCATGCGCGACGTACTGTCCCGCAGTTAACGTGAAAGGGACTATAGGATATTATTTTTATATTGTAGGGAAATTATTATATGTTTAGTTAGATTATTATTACATTAGGTTAGAAATTAGTTATTTTAGGAATTAGAAATTATTTTGTAAACGGTAAATCGTAGTTGTAATCGTTGGAATTTTGTACGGGACGGTGGCACGTGTCTACTATAGCACTGTTGATATATGTCCCTGTACATAATTTTGTAATTGTTTAATTAAGTGTGTTGACTTATTTCTTTCTTGGAACTTTATATTTTGTCATGGCTGTCATAAATATACGGACAGCTACAGAAGATGAGCTGTGCACGTTGGAGGGTTTAGGCCCCGCGACGGCACAGAAAATCTTGAGTGTAAGAGATGATGAGGGGCTCACTCTGCAGAAACTGGTGACTGTTTCCAGAGTGGGCATTGAGAAGTGGCAGAAATGGCTAAGTGATGGGGTCATCACGGGCATAATGGTCACTGCCCCTGTAGAGGTGCAATCACCAACCCGGTCGACCTCATCACTGGCAGATAGGCTAGACAGACAGGAGGACGAGGTTATGGACATAAAGCAGGAAGTTAAGGAACTGCGGATCCAATTCAGGGAGTTAATGGTAACATTGGAGATGGAGGCTCTTAGAAAATCAGAGTCTGGCGGCTCGTGCTGCCTCGCCTCCGAAAAAGAGATCTACTCCCGGCACTCTGCTACTGACTACACCTAGTGGTGGTCAGTATGTGAGCCAGGGGCCACAAATAAATAGCTGGTCACCCTGGAGGGATAGGGGTACCACTCATGCTACCTCAACCTCCGTGCCACCATACTCGAACTCGCAGACAATGATTCCTAAACAGAAGGAGTCCGAGTTTGACCCTATCTTACAAGCTATCCCGAAGGATGGAAGGTACGTAAGGGGTCACGATCAGGGTTCCCATGTATCAACATGGACAGCTGGAGGTGCCAATGCACCCATTGCACCCATTGCTTCTAAGTGAGGGTTTAAGCTGGAATTGGCCCCAAAAGTTGAAGGGGAAATGAGTCTGCCCTTGTCATGCCTATCATTGGACAATGAAAAGGGGGCTGACTTCCTGTTGGAAGATGTCAAGCCTAGTTTGACGCTTCGAAGGCAGGGAGGGGGGAATTATCCTGGGGGATATGACCCTTCACAGCCAGCTTTTCAACATAGGGGGGGGGGGAGTAACTTACCCCCAGGCAATAGGCTGCCATACACCAATGGCGGGATAAGTAACTATCCCCTGTTGGGGCACATACAGTACAATTCAGGTGATTTGGTACTGAAACCCCGTGCGGGCGACAGTCGTCGCGCAGGCGAAGGGGATTAAAGCT